AGTCGGCTATTCCAACCAGTAAGTAACTACATATGCCGGACTTCTGGTTTAGGCCAGATTATGGACAATAACCCACATAGCTAGAGACGTTCGTTTCCCAAATACAGTCGCCTGTGGGTCAAGAACAACGACAAGAGCTTATCAATCAGCCTCCTCCTGCTGGGCAGGCCGAGGTAGATGAAGAAGGCACAGGAGGAGAAGAAGGAGGAGGAGGAGAAAATGATCGTCTTGTACGTGAAAATGAGGTAACAGATCTCCAAAACCGGGACTGTAGATTCTCAGAGGCGGACGCGGAAAGGAAGGTGGGCCCTCGTGTGGCTCTTAATAAATCGTACCAGAAAAACAGCAAAAAACACTCTGCAGACATTGATAAAGAGTACAACCGCGTGTTCGCACTTCGTTCAGAGATCAATGCACTGCTGGCAGGATTCAAGCAGAGGCTGGAGCTTCAGGAGCACATGAACTTGAGTGTGTGCTTCAAGAATTTGAGAAAGCTTGTTGGGCTCTATGATACCCTAGAGTTTGATAAGGAAGCTATGAAAATTGTCATCGATCCAAAGGCAGATGAACATGCCGTTGAAGCAGTTAACAAGTTCAACATGATGCTTGACAAATGCCACGAGTTTCAGGAAAAGCTACAAACATCAAAACCAGTCATGGAAGAAAAGCTGATGGCCTTAGAAAAAGAAAATATGCAAACCCAAGAAACTTTGGATGCCATTGCGCGTGCCAAAAATCAGCTCAAGTGTGTTCAGGAGTGGGAAGCAGATGTTAAGCACATCATATTTGAAACCAAAACTTCCTCAATGTTGTTCACTTCAGGGAAAGTTGTCACTGGAGTTCAAACCTGAGGACTGTCTGTTGAACTTGTTTTTTTGTCTGTTAGCCTAGTTTTTTGTGTTGAAAGTTTGTAGCTATAGTGACTGAGTAATCCAAACAATGGGCAGTCTTACATGATTCTGTTTTGAGGAACCTTTTGCAAACTCTACAGTTACCCTACGACCCTGCCAGGCCTGATGCAGAGAGCAAGGGGGAGGAGAACCCCCTTGACAGCCAATGAGTAGCTACACACCCATGGAGTTTCCTAGCCTCGAGTGTCCAACTCTTGAGTTAGCTGCTGAGAATGTTGGGTGCGCACTAGTCAATGTTTACTGATTCGTTCGTGTGGTGGTGGTAGTGGCGTCTGACATGGGAGACTGTTTGAGTCGGCTATTCCAACCAGTAAGTAGCTACATATGCCTGACTTCTTCCTGGCCAGATTACGGACAATAACCCACACGCGCACGGCTCTGTGCGCAACCAACGAGGACGACGCTGCCGCCGATCCTCTAAATACGGAACCCGGTAGCAATACCACGTGCATCGTATGGGGGTCGAGCTCAACCCCCGACAATGGAAAGCAGGGAGAGCCGCTTGGCTAGGCGCAGAGAGAGAGAGACAGAGACATCGCGTACGGCACGCCCGAGACAGCGGCGACTCGACTCGACTCGACTGGCATGGCCGCCGCCTAGCTGGGACGACAATGACACGGCTGTGTGCGCATGCGCAATGTTTAGTGACGTAATGTTTTTCTCTGCTCAGTAGTAGTAGTGAGTGTGCTTTTGTGCTTGCAGGGATCGGGACGCTGTGGCTATGGGCAATATGATCAGCTGGTGGAGCGGCACTGATCCACAGGTAGGAGAATGTTTTGACGCCGAGACATTAGGCAACACTACCTGCTATGGTAAAGGTCTGCTGACACAAGCTTGAATTGTGTAGCTAGAGTCCTCTTTTCCTGCATGTAAGTAGCTATACAGCAGCTGCAGAGTCCGTTGTTGCCTGCAATGTGTACCAGTGTCCGCCCGTTGTAGCGCGGGATGTTGTAGTTGATGAGGACGCTGAGGGAGTACCCGTTCGACTGGTACTCGGAGAGAAACCGCTTCAGCTCCTCCGCCTGGCCGGGGAACGGCGCCGAGTTGAGTATGTTGGCCAACCTCTCCGAGCTGTGTCGAAGATTTCGAGACATGGCCGTGGGTAGCTTGCTTGCTTGCTCGCGAACAAGGCCAGGATCGAGGCCAGGATATCAGTAGTGAGTGAGTTGATGTGTAGACGCCCCGCCTAGCTTTGCCTTCTGCTGAGCGTGCGCATGTAGCACTCGCGGCCGACCGCGGGGCATCGCGCGCACGTACGTACACGCGCCTGGGGCTCGGAGCCACGCCTTGCTCCAGCCAGAGAGAGCTAGAGAGGCGCGGCTCAGTGTCTGCGCATGTGCATAACTACTGTTGGAGACGAGCTAGTGAGTTGAGCAAAACTTGACTGCACTAGGACATGCTCGGGGACTAAAATCTACATTATGGGTATCTGGTTAAGTCAACTGTTGGCTGGTCCCCGACCAGTAGGTGAATATACTCGTGCTGTCGCGTGGTAGGTTTCTGACACATTGTAAGTATATATGTGATCTGACTCAATGCAGTTACCAGCACCGGCAGCACCAGATCACCAGCCTCGGGGCGTGAGGGGCTACACATTCTCTGAGACTGAGACTAAAAGAACAGTGGGCCCACCAGTAGCTCTTGAACAATCCTACCAACGTGAAAGAAAGCAATGGTCTGATACCATCGAGATGGAGTACACTACCCTCGTTAATTTGCGTGCGGATATCGATGCAATGTTGGCGGGATTCAGGCAGAGGTTGGACCTTTCAGAGGATGCTAAGTTGAGTGTGTGCTTTGGCGCTGTGAGGGAGCTGGTTGGTCCATACCAGATCTTGAATTTGAATGAGCAGGAAATGAAAATTATGATCAGTGACGAAGCAAATCCCAATGCAGTTGAAGCAGTGAATAAGTTCAACACAATGCTTGAGAAATGCCGCGAGTTCCAGGGAAATGTGTGCACGTCTAAGCCAGTCATGGAAGAAAATCTAAGAGCTCTTGAGAAAGAGAAAAAGCTAACACAAGCAGTTTTGGATGTAATTGAGCGGGCCAAGAAGCAGCTATGCTTAGTTCGAGAGTGGAATGAACACGTGAAATGCATCATTTCTGATACCAAAACATCTTCAAAGAACCTTGCTCCAAAGAAAGCTACTGGACTACGATGTCGGGCTGAACTTGAGAGTTAGTGTTCTATGCTGTGTGTAGTGTTTGTGCTGTAGCTTCTGTAGTATTTGCTCACAGTTGCAAAAGGTTATTAACCCTCGGCGCGCGCATGCGCAGCGAGGGTCGGTCGACATTGCTGGGGCCGCCGGGCGGGGCCGGGGGTAGGACACGATCACGTGTGAGCAATTTTTGCTGAATCAGCACTCCCGAATGTTTTTCGGCAATCTAGGCCGTGGCCTGAAGTTTTTCTCTTGACAGAGTGAAGGAGGCACCTTAGAAGATCAAAAATCACGGGGGAACCACAACTCGTTTTTTATGAATGGGAGTGCCTAAGCTTGCGACCTTTTTTTCTTCCAGCGAAGCGTTTAGCATCTGGCCTTGACTTTCCACTCCCCGGTCTACTACCATTTGACTCAATCCAATACGCCAGGCTATCCAATTGCTGCACAAATACAGCAAGCTAGCATTAGGCCAAGCCACGCCTAGCTACACCAAATTCCGTGAAGAAAGTTCGCTAAGGACTTGTGCTTTGTGTCGATCATACCGTTTCTACGACGGTTTCTTACGTTGGAGCACTTTTCGATAACCTGTTTGTCTTGAGACTTGGTAACGGTGTTTTGCAGGGACGTGGGCACGAGGGCGAGTACCAGCCTATGCCCTTTGTCTTCCCTCTCTCTTTAGTAAACCATATTATCGCTGTACTATGTCGCTTATGAGCATTGGAACGCTATGTGGTTCTTACGTAACTACGCAAGCTTGTCCTACCCGACCCCCCACCCCCCTGCCCCTGGTGACATGACATGGGAGACTGGTTCAGTCGGCTATTCAGAGGATAGAGAGATGAGAATCGTCCTGTACGTGAAAATGAGGTAACAGATCTCCAAAACCGGGACTGTAGATTCTCAGAGGCGGACGCGGAAAGGAAGGTGGGCCCTCGTGTGGCTCTTGATAAATCGTACCAGGAAAACAGCAAAAAACACTCTGCAGACATTGATAAAGAGTACAACCGCGTGTTCGCACTTCGTTCAGAGATCAATGCAATGCTGGCAGGATTCAAGCAGAGGCTGGAGCTTCAGGAACACATGAACTTGAGTGTGTGCTTCAAGAATTTGAGAAAGCTTGTTGGGCTCTATGATACCCTAGAGTTGAATGAGGAAGTGATGCAAATCATCATCGATCCAAAGGCAGATGAAGATGCCGTTGAAGCAGTTAACAAGTTCAACATGATGCTTGAGAAATGCCACGAGTTTCAGGAAAAGCTACAAACATCAAAACCAGTCATGGAAGAAAACCTCATGGCCTTAGAAAAAGAAAGTATGCAAACCCAAGAAACTTTGGATGCCATTGCGCGTGCCAAAAATCAGCTCAAGTGTGTTCAGGAGTGGGAAGCAGATGTTAAGCACATCATATTTGACACCAAAACTTCCTCAAGGCTGTTCACTTCAAGGAAATTTGTCACTGGATTTCAAACCTGAGGACTGTCTGTTGAACTTGTTTTTTGTCTGTTAGCCTAGTTTTTGTAAAGTTTATAGCTATAATGACTGAGTAATCCAAACAATGGACAGTCTTATGTCAGGGGTATTTCCCTCTTGGAGGTGGAGCCGCCTCATTAGGCTCCACCCCTGCCCAGTCCTGATCACACCCCCGGAAATGGGTGGAGACAAAAAAGAAAAAGCAACGGCCCGATCTTACGCCAACGGCTGGATATCTGGCCGGCAGCGCAGCATGCAATGTAGTCTCGTGCCCAGACCCCGCCCTCAAAGTGAGGAAAAGGGTCTGGTGACTATTGAGCGTTTTCTTGGTTGTGCTGACTCGACAGTCTTACTTTTGAGACACCGAATCAGATTGCCACGAGCATGAAATATCACATGATGTTATGTAATAGATCGTAACGCAGCTCCGTGGATTCCGCGTGTCATCCATTGTCCACGAACGAAAACGGGCTTTTCTGCGCATGAAAAATACACCATGTGATGCCAAGAGAAAAAAAAAGATGCGGAGCTGCACTCGACAATGATGAGTCAGCACAACCAAGAAAACGCTCAATAGTCACCAGCAGACCCTTTTCCTTATGGGAGGTGATTCGTGCCAAAATTCGACGATGTGACGAACCCGTTTTGTTCGTCTGGAGGAGGCGTGATTCGTCGGGCGGAGGCGCGTTTGTTCCAGTGGAGAGGCGTGTCTCGTCGAGCGGAGGCGCGTTTTTACGAGTGGAGAGGCGTGTCTCGTCGAGAGGAGGAGGCAAGTTTTTTGAAGTGGAGAGGAGCGCGAAAGTGTGGAGAAGGCGGGTCTCGTTCAGCGGGAGGGGCGCGGTTTATGCGGCGCTGGACACGTCGTGAGAGCCCGGATGTCAGACCTAGAGCAGCTGGTGAGTGCGACCTCTCAGCTGCAGCAGCAGCTTCTTGAGAGCGCGGTGCGCGGTCTTGAAGGTCAGCCATACTAGCCGTGTATGAATAGCCATCCTAGGAAGTTATTCTTATTAACGCCGTCCTTGCCCTTTGACCGGAGGCGGTTCTGGGAACCCGACGGTGGAGTACGCCTCTCCACACGAAGAAACTTGCCTCCTTCCTCCTCTCGACTTGGCACGCCTCTCCACTTGAAAAAAACTTGCCTCCTCCTCTCGACGAGACACGCCTCTCCACTCGTAAAAACGCGCCTCCGCTCGACGAGACACGCCTCTCCACTGGAACAAACGCGCCTCCGCCCGACGAATCACGCCTCCTCCAGACGAACAAAACGGGTTCGTCACATCGTCGAATTTTGGCACGAATCACCTCCCATATTTCCTCACTCGAGGGCGGGGTGTGTGTGGGCACGAGACTGGCGCCCACGCGGGATTAACCCTCGCCTGCGCGCATGCGCAGCGAGGGTTATTGCAGTTGGTCTGTGTGTGTGCGTGTGTCCGTCCGTCTGTCCACCGTTTTTCTCTGTAACCGCGGCAACTCTGAGCGTGAAACGTGGACATATTATCAGGTAGGAGGCATGCATGGTAAATTAAAATTCTGGACCGGAGAAGGCCAGGGAAGCTGGTGAAACGGGCAGCTGTCGAGGTGAGTGTGCGTCAAATAGAGATCGCGCTAACGGTCGCTCTGCTTTGCTGCTAGAAGCTTTGCGCGTGTGGAGAAGATTTGCTGGTCTGCCTGTATTGATTTTATAGTTGAGTAGGATCGAGATTGCCGGTGAAGTGAGAGCAGCACACGCCCAGTGAATCCGTTCAGTGAAGGAGTCACTTATGTAGTGTAGCTAGTGGCTGAAATAAAGAATAAAGTGGTGAGGGTTATGTACTGTCGAGTGCTTTTCACTTTGCTGTAGTGGTAACTATAATTGAACACGCATGTGGAAAAGACTGAGGTAGTGTAGCTAGTAGCCATTGGCTGCTGAAATGAAGAATAAAGTGGCTAGGGTTATGCACTTTCAAGTGCTTTTCATTCTGTGTTGAGGAACCTTCTGCAAACTCTACAGTTACCCTACAACCCTGCCAGGCCTGATGCAGAGAGCAAGGGGGAGGAGATCGAACTATCTCAGCCAATGAGTGATACACCCATGGAGTTTCCTAGCCTTGAGCGTCCAACTCTTGAGTTAGCTGCTGAGAATGTTGGGTGCCTTTTACTATGCACAGCACAAGGAGGTGTCCCCAGGCACTGATACTGGCACTCGGAGAGAAACCGCTTCAGCTCCTCCGCCTGGCCGGGGAACGGCGCCGAGTTGAGTATGTTGGCCAACCTCTCCGAGCTGTGTCGAAGATTTCTAGACATGGTAGCTGGCTTGCTCGCTCGCGAACAAGGCCAGGATCGCTCTCTCTCGTATTTTGAAGTGTGAAGTAGACGTCTATATATTATGCTCCGCCTACATGTTTGGACTATAATAGCTGCTTGCTGAGCTTGCAGCACGCCGCGCGCATGAAGCAAGCCTGGGCGGGTCACATGGGGGCGGGGCTACGCGCTGAGGCGTGGCTAAGATGCGCATGCGCACTATTCAATGTTTATTCGTGTGTGTGCATTGCTGCTGCGCGCGTGTGTATAGTGTGCCGTCTGAAATCGGAGACTGGTTCAGTCGGCTATTCCAACCAGTAAGTAACTACATATGCCTGACTTCTGGTTTAGGCCAGATCATGGACAATAACCCACATAGCTAGAGACACTCGTTTCCCAAATATACAGTCGCCAGCACGACCACGAGATGTGGGTCAAGAACAACGAGAAGAGCCTCTCAATCAGCCTCCTCATGCTGGGCAGGCCGAGGTAAATGAAGAAGGCGCAGGAGGAGAAGAAGGAGGAGGAGGAGAAAATGATCATCCTGTATGTGAAGATGAGGTAACAGATCTCCAAAACCGGGACTGTAGATTCTCAGAGGCTGACGCGGAAAGGAAGGTGGGCCCTCGTGTGGCTCTTGATAAATCGTACCAGGAGAACAGCAAAAAACACTCTGCAGACATTGATAAAGAGTACAACCGCGTGTTCCCACTTCGTTCAGAGATCAATGCACTGCTGGCAGGATTCAAGCAGAGGCTGGAGCTTCAGGAACACATGAACTTGAGTGTGTGCTTCAAGAATTTGAGAAAGCTTGTTGGGCTCTATGATACCCTAGAGTTTGATAAGGAAGCTATGAAAATTATCATCGATCCAAATGCAGATGAAGATGCCGTTGAAGCAGTTAACAAGTTCAACATGATGCTTGAGAAATGCCATGAGTTTCAGGAAAAGCTACAAACATCAAAACCAGTCATGGAAGAAAAGCTCATGGCCTTAGAAAAAGAAAGTACGCAAACCCAAGAAACTTTGGATGCCACTGCGCGTGCCAAAAATCAGCTCAAGTGTGTTCTGGAGTGGGAAGCAGACGTTAAGCACATCATATTTGAAACCAAAACTTCCTCAATGTTGTTCACTTCAGGGAAAGTTGTCACTGGAGTTCAAACCTGAGGACTGTCTGTTGAACTTGTTTTTTTGTCTGTTAGCCTAGTTTTTGTGTTGAAAGTTTGTAGCTATAGTGACTGAGTAATCCAAACAATGGGCAGTCTTACATGATTCTGTTTTGAGGAACCTTTTGCAAACTCTACAGTTACCCTACGACCCTGCCAGGCCTGATGCAGAGAGCAAGGGGGAGGAGAACCCCCTTGACAGCCAATGAGTAGCTACACACCCATGGAGTTTCCTAGCCTCGAGTGTCCAACTCTTGAGTTAGCTGCTGAGAATGTTGGGTGCGCACTAGTCAATGTTTACTGATTCGTTCGTGTGGTGGTGGTAGTGGCGTCTGACATGGGAGACTGTTTGAGTCGGCTATTCCAACCAGTAAGTAGCTACATATGCCTGACTTCTTCCTGGCCAGATTACGGACAATAACCCACACGCGCAAGGCTCTGGGCGCAACCAACGAGGACGACGCTGCCGCGCCGCCGATCGTCTAAATACGGAACCCGGTAGCAATACCACGTGCATCGTATGGGGGTCGAGCTCAACCCCCGACTATGGAAAGCAGGGAGAGCCGCTTGGCTAGGCGCAGAGAGAGAGAGACAGAGACATCGCGTACGGCACGCCCTAGACAGCGGCGACTCGACTCGACTCGACTCGACGACTGGCATGGCATGGTCTGGGCACGTACGTGTATATATATACACGCGCGCCCAGGGCTCGGAGCCACGCCTTCTCCAGCCTAGCCAGAGAGCGCGAGCTAGCTAGAGAGGCGCGGCTCAGTGTCTGCGCATGTGCATAACTACTGTTGGAGACGAGCTAGTGAGTTGAGCAAAACTTGACTGCACTAGGACGTGCTCGGGGACTAAAATCTACATTATGGGTATCTGGTTAAGTCAACTGTTGGCTGGTCCCCGACCAGTAAGTGATTATACTCGTGCTGTCACGTCGTAGGTTTCTGACACATTGTAAGTATGTGATCTGACTCAATGCAGTTACCAGCACCGGCAGCACCAGATCACCAGCCTCCTAATGGCCATCTTCCAGCTGAAGAGGACGAAGGAGATTATGGTTTTGATGAAGAAGACGGAGGAGAAGGAGGGGGAGAAGAAAGAAGGGAAGAAAGACGAGAAGATGAAAGGGGAGAAGGGGGAGAGGGTGGAGAGAGAGGAGGAGGAATGGGAGGAGGCGAGGGAGGAGAAGAAAATGAAGGGGAAGGAAGGGAAGATCATGGTGAAGGTGAAGATGTGATTACTGAGCTAAGGGGCGTGAGGGGCTACACATTCTCTGAGACTGAGACTAAAAGAACAGTGGGCCCACCAGTAGCTCTTGAACAATCCTACCAACGTGAAAGAAAGCAATGGTCTGATACCATCGAGATGGAGTACACTACCCTCGTTAATTTGCGTGCGGATATCGATGCAATGTTGGCGGGATTCAGGCAGAGGTTGGACCTTTCAGAGGATGCTAAGTTGAGTGTGTGCTTTGGCGCTGTGAGGGAGCTGGTTGGTCCATACCAGATCTTGAATTTGAATGAGCAGGAAATGAAAATTATGATCAGTGACGAAGCAAATCCCAATGCAGTTGAAGCAGTGAATAAGTTCAACACAATGCTTGAGAAATGCCGCGAGTTCCAGGGAAATGTGTGCACGTCTAAGCCAGTCATGGAAGAAAATCTAAGAGCTCTTGAGAAAGAGAAAAAAGCTAACACAAGCAGTTTTGGATGTAATTGAGCGGGCCAAGAAGCAGCTATGCTTAGTTCGAGAGTGGAATGAACACGTGAAATGCATCATTTCTGATACCAAAACATCTTCAAAGAACCTTGCTCCAAAGAAAGCTACTGGACTACGATGTCGGGCTGAACTTGAGAGTTAGTGTTCTATGCTGTGTGTAGTGTTTGTGCTGTAGCTTCTGTAGTATTTGCTCACAGTTGCAAAAGGTTATTAACCCTCGGCGCGCGCATGCGCAGCGAGGGTCGGTCGACATTGCTGGGGCCGCCGGGCGGGGCCGGGGGTAGGACACGATCACGTGTGAGCAATTTTTGCTGAATCAGCACTCCCGAATGTTTTTCGGCAATCTAGGCCGTGGCCTGAAGTTTTTCTCTTGACAGAGTGAAGGAGGCACCTTAGAAGATCAAAAATCACGGGGGAACCACAACTCGTTTTTTATGAATGGGAGTGCCTAAGCTTGCGACCTTTTTTTCTTCCAGCGAAGCGTTTAGCATCTGGCCTTGACTTTCCACTCCCCGGTCTACTACCATTTGACTCAATCCAATACGCCAGGCTATCCAATTGCTGCACAAATACAGCAAGCTAGCATTAGGCCAAGCCACGCCTAGCTACACCAAATTCCGTGAAGAAAGTTCGCTAAGGACTTGTGCTTTGTGTCGATCATACCGTTTCTACGACGGTTTCTTACGTTGGAGCACTTTTCGATAACCTGTTTGTCTTGAGACTTGGTAACGGTGTTTTGCAGGGACGTGGGCACGAGGGCGAGTACCAGCCTATGCCCTTTGTCTTCCCTCTCTCTTTAGTAAACCATATTATCGCTGTACTATGTCGCTTATGAGCATTGGAACGCTATGTGGTTCTTACGTAACTACGCAAGCTTGTCCTACCCGACCCCCCACCCCCCTGCCCCTGGTGACATGACATGGGAGACTGGTTCAGTCGGCTATTCAGAGGATAGAGAGATGAGAATCGTCCTGTACGTGAAAATGAGGTAACAGATCTCCAAAACCGGGACTGTAGATTCTCAGAGGCGGACGCGGAAAGGAAGGTGGGCCCTCGTGTGGCTCTTGATAAATCGTACCAGGAGAACAGCAAAAAACACTCTGCAGACATTGATAAAGAGTACAACCGCGTGTTCCCACTTCGTTCAGAGATCAATGCACTGCTGGCAGGATTCAAGCAGAGGCTGGAGCTTCAGGAACACATGAACTTGAGTGTGTGCTTCAAGAATTTGAGAAAGCTTGTTGGGCTCTATGATACCCTAGAGTTTGATAAGGAAGCTATGAAAATTATCATCGATCCAAATGCAGATGAAGATGCCGTTGAAGCAGTTAACAAGTTCAACATGATGCTTGAGAAATGCCACGAGTTTCAGGAAAAGCTACAAACATCAAAACCAGTCATGGAAGAAAAGCTGATGGCCTTAGAAAAAGAAAATATGCAAACCCAAGAAACTTTGGATGCCATTGCGCGTGCCAAAAATCAGCTCAAGTGTGTTCAGGAGTGGGAAGCAGATGTTAAGCACATCATATTTGACACCAAAACTTCCTCAAAGCTGTTCACTTCAGGGAGAATTGTTACCGGACTTCACTGAAACCTGAGGACTGTCGGTTGGACTTGTTTTTTTGTCTGTTAGCCTAGTTTTTGTGTTGGAAAGTTTATAGCTATATAATATAGTGACTGAGTAATCCAAACAATGGACAGTCTTATGGTTCCGTGTTGAGGAGCCTTCTGCAAACTCTGCAGTCACCCTACAGTTAGCACCCTGCCAGGCCTGATGCAGAGAGAAAGGGGGAGGAGATAGAACCCTATTGACAGCCAATGAGTACACACCCATGGAGTTTCCTAGCCTTGAGTGTCCACCTCTTGAGTTAGCTGCTGATGCAATGTTGGCGGCAGGCTATAAGGACTATTAGTTTGTCTTTTTTAGGAAGTCTGGTTCCCGCCCAGACGCTTCACAAAATACGCGCACCGCATGCGTTTACGCGAGCGCATAATTATTTTTGTAGCCTAGTTTTGCTGATTTTCAAAGGCACCGGCTATATAGTAGTACCCAAGCCGCCAGCACGTCAATACTCATATCCCCGAGGATGTGTTAATTGAGTCAATATGAGTTTACACAACGATCTAATCAGCAAACAATGGCCAGTGACCTTTCTTGGTAAGCTGTAGATGGCTGTGGCTACATCCCAAGCTGGCAGGCAAGGGAAAAGTGGCGAGCCAGCTAGTAAGCGAGAAGATGCGCGTGCAAGCCAGAAAAAGGCGAGAGCTGGAGCGAGAGGGCTGTGTGCCGCGCGTCACTTGAACACGCTGTTCAAAAATGTCAGGCTTAGCTGCACCATAGCTGAGCTGTAGCGTACGTGATATACGAAGGAGACTCCAAAGAACGTCATTCCATGTCTGCGCGGCGTCTTGTCTTCTCTGCTTGGTCCGCGCTACAGCAGCCCGTTACAATTGCATGCTACACTACGCTCCACCGCTAGCTAAAGTAGTACTCGCTCGAACAAACGGTCAACAGGCAGCATGGGCTCGGCCTCCTTTCCCTCGTCTCGCCAACCGATTTCTCTCACAACCCTGGCAAAATGTTGATGACGTAATATGGTTGCTAGGCAATTAGTGCGGTTGCTAGGCTACAAATTGGTTAACGCCTTGGTTCTTCAGCCCTCAGCTGTTTACTCTACCCCCCTCGAGCTCCGCCCTCGGGTGCTAGATCGAGTAAACAGCTTCGGGGATATCACCGGTACCGCTTCAGAACCAGGCGTTAACCTATGCGTGATCGGGTGATAATTATTCCGCGCGCGCAGCTCTCTCACCCCCCCGTCGTCCACGTAGTAGTGTTTCCGTCGTAAATATGGGTGCCTTCTTCAGCAGGCGCACCCGGCGGGCACAGGTATGTACCTCACGCTACATATCGGATTGCTGTCAGTTTTTCCTGAATGCAGCTGGCACCTCAAGAGCCAATACCTAATGAAGCTCCTCTTGAAGTGGACATAGTGGACATAGACGATGGATATGTTTTAGTTGGAGGAGGACAGAGGGAAGAAGGAGACCAGGAAGAAGAACAGGGAGAAGCTGGTGGAGGAGAAGCTGGTGGAGGAGAAGCAGAAGGAAGGGGAGAAGAAAGTGAAGGGGAGGCAAGCGAAAATCGGGAAGGTGAAGATGAACTCAGGGATGTGTCTGCGAGGGGCTACAGGTTCTCAGACTCTGAGGTGAAACAAAAACTTGGCCCGCGTGTTGCTCTTGTGCATTCATACCAGCAAAAAAGCGAGGAGTCGTCCACACTAATTGAGGAACTGTACAAACAGCTCTTTGTACTGCGGTCGGATATCAATGGGCTGTTAGTGGGATTCAAGCATAGATTGGGCTTTCAGGAGGAGACTAAGTTGAGTGTGTGCTTCAGACAACTAAGAGAGCTAGTTGGCCGTGATCATACCCTAAAGTTCAAAGAGGAAGCATTGAAAATTGACATTGATCCACAAGCAGATGAAGACGCAGTTGAAGCAGTGAACAAATTCAACTGGATGCTAGAGAAATGCCGCGAGCTCCAGGAAAAACTGCATACGTCGAAATCATTAATGGAATGCAACATAGGGGCTCTTGAGAGAGGGAGAATACAAACTACAGCAACACTGGATGTGATAGAGCGAGGCAAGAAACAACTTGAGTTGGTTGAAGAGTGGGCCACACACGTCAGGTTCATCATACAGGATACCAAATCTTCCTCAAAGGCACTTGGTCCAAAACTGGTCACTGGATCTATCACTAGGGCTTGTGTGTAAATAGGTATATAGTCTATCACCACCACATTCCGTCAGTTTATCTCTGTAGCTTTTGTGTGGTATTATACTTTCTCTTTGGAATATCTGACGGCTTTTCCAAAAAAGGTCCTGGGAAATAGTAAAGAAGGCAAGGCGTTTAGCGATGTATGCACGGCTGCGTGCGCATGCGTACTTTTCCCGCCATTTCGACGACGTAATGTTTTTTTCTAGTGTTGCGCTCTCGAGGCTGTGGCTATGGGTACAGTGGGCAGCAGATTCCTTCGCTGGTGGAGCGGTACTGATCTAGCAGAGGAGAGAAACGAAGAAGTACCAGCAGAGGAGGGAAACGAAGAAGTACCAGCAGAGGAGAGAAACGAAGAAGTACCAGCAGAAAATGGTGAGCAAGATGTACCTGCTGAAAGATGTCCCTGGGACTACACCTTCTCAAAGGCTGACATTGAAAGGGAAGTAGGACCTCCGGTAGTTCTCAAGGAGTCCTTTCTACGACATCGAGCACTTGCGGGTCATGACCAGGAGTATGAAACAACGTTTGCAATGCGAGTCGATATCCACAGCCATTTTTACAGAGTTCAGAGACACATTGAACGTTTCTGAGCAGGCAAATATATCTGAATGTTTCAAGAGTCTGGGAAAACTTGTTGGACGAAGAAGAACTCTTTCATTCGACAGAAAACAGGATTGTAAGCGAAGACACTGATGGCACTGTGAACCAAGCAGTGGAAAAGTTCAATGAGATGGCTAACAAATTTGAAGAATTGCAATGCAAGCTTGCCCAGGCTAAAACTATCATCAGAAGAGAAGATAGATGCTCTTGAGAAGGAGACGATACAGACTACAGCTACAGAGCATGCCATCCAACGTGCAAGAAAGCAGGCCCGGTTCCTGCAAGATTGGGAAGGGCACATCGAGGATATTTATGAAGATGCCGAAGTTTGCAGGATATCTTCTTGGAAGGGGAACATGGGGGCTAGGGTGCTGTGATTGCAAAAGAGGATGGTGATCAATGACAGGAAAACATGGGTTTTACTCCTTTTTACATATACTTAGTGTTTGCCAAGGAAAATATTAACGATGTGTGGCATTATTAGCATGAAATTTACATGAAGATAAAAAATAGGTCATGACAGTGTTCCATAAACAAAGCAAACACCAACAGTGAATGTATTTTTCATAACAACACTGCACAAACATACACAATCATAAAGCTCAAGTCGTGTTGCTAGTTCTGCTGCTGGAGGTGAATGATCTGTGATGGGCGGGTCTCATGGCTGAGAATGCATGCAGTGTTCCTACTGGACTCATTCCCGACTGTACAAAGGTCACTGGTGTCTCCACATTATCACGGAAATGACTGGGGTCAGAGATATGTACTCTTTCGTAGTTTGTAGTTAATAGCAATAATTATTATACCTCCTGTTGAGTGGCTGGATACAGTGAGAAATCTCCTCCACTGACTGAGAGAGAGTGTTGACTTGTAGAGAATTAGCTGACTCTGACAGAGCCTGGAAATAATTATACATACACACAACATGATGGTGCACTACACAAACAAACAAAACACTTGTAATATGGGACACAAGCACACAGTAAAACCGTATGTAACTACCTCAATCTGCAGTAGGAGTCCAGTGAGTTTGGTGATGAGAGCAATAACCCGTGGATCCTTCACTTCACTATAACAACACCAATAATGTACAGAACATGAATATTATCACTTGAACATCATACAATGAGAAATTACTTGGAACGCCCTAATTTTAGCCCACACAAAACACACACACAAGCACACAGTTCGCTTCAAGATCCCAAGCCATCGAAATGAACTCAATGCCATAATAATACACATTAATGTATGCCTTTGATTCATAAGGTGCATTGTACAGTGTGCGCATGTGTGTGTAAGAGACCTTCCAGAAGCCTCTAGACTGTTGTTGGCACTCTCAGTGATCCTGGAGGCCTGGTCTCGGGTGTTCATGTGTGGAGGGTTGATCTCACTCCCGTAGCCCATGGAGTCACAGTGACCACGAATTGCATCCAGCCTCTGGTTCAGTTGCTGTGTGTGGACACACCATGCAATTGGGTGAAACTTCTGAATAAGGGACACATTGGGGGCGCATAAAGTGTCCCACATTCAGAGGTGTCCTATATAGTATGGGGCTGAATGTCCTTTCAGAGAACAAGAAGTGCACCTATAGCTATGTATATACACACCAGACACCACCATATATAATTATTATGTTTTAGGGTCACATTGCAAGAAATCACTCAGTGCCCGTGTTTGTTTTGCTTTGATTACATTTACATGTGTTGGTGATGTTGATGTATGGTACAATCTAACCTTGTTGATGTCGTCTAGGTCCACAACTAGAACAGCATACTGTCTTTGAAAGTCGGTTCCCAGTGGCTTCTGCCTCGCATGCTGCACAGAACAGAACAGTTGTAGAAATTCAGGGACACCGTACTTATAGTTTTGTTTGTGCGTGTGTGATATTTCTACATAGAACATAGAACATGCAAACCCCTGTAAGATCAGTATTGATTGTACATATGTGTATCTTTAGTGCCTCCGTAGCTCACTTTATGGAAAACTTCTACGCATACATGTGTACAGTAGCAATAGCTCACTGCCTTCTCGGCCTCGGTGTTCATCTGTGAGAGTGTTCTGGTGACCTGCTGCTTGAGTGACAGGAGCTTTGACAACTGCATCTGTACATGCAGAAACGAAAGAGCCGTCCTGGGTGTAGTTGACTTGCTTGCCTTGCCTTGCCTTTCTACCTCGTTACCAAATTGTTGAGCACAAATACACAGGGTAAAATGGACAAATTTTAGTGTTGATTTGTTGTGCCAGTCAAAAATAATTGTATGCTCTGGGGTTTCAAATATAACGGACGGTTTTTTTCAAGTTCAGCTGGTGTGGTGATAAAATACTCACCACTTGTCTGAGAAAGTCGACAGGAAAGCCTCCGACACGTTCAGGTATTGCTGGCTTTGAAGGCACTGAACTACCTGATATGGTAGAATGAGCAGGAGACAGACGAGTGTGTGGTCAACATGTGATGGTTTGGACTATACACGTACCTGGCAGTCTTTGGGGTTCACTCAAGAGCTTTCTTCTGCAATTGAGAAACGGGAATTTGCATAAGGGCTAAAGTTAGAAAGAAATGTTGTATACTGAAGATGGCAACGGTCCCAGTCAAAGTTTTTTTAGTAACAGTTCAGCCTCATTAACACAAACACACGAAAATTCTTGTATTTGCATATTCCAACTATATAGAACAAAAATTAGGCAAACAAAAATCTATATAACCTCTCAGGAGAAGAAGTCAGGAAAGGGTCAGGCAGCTGAATTGGACAAACAGAAAGTGTCAAAGATTGATTACCCTCTATAAGATGTACATACCAGTTCAGGGGAAAGGACAATTTGAACATTACTCGTAGAATCAGATAGGATTGGTCTGGGCCTGTAGTAGATACAACACAATAATGATTATCATAGGGTGTGCTTTATTTGGAGCTTCCACAGTATACACAAGGTGTGTTTTATTTGGAGTTTCCACTGACGGTGTTTGTGGATGAAGGGTAGTGGTGGTTGAAGAGGAGTGGGGGGTGGTGGTGGTGGCAGTGGTGGTAGAGACCGGAGTGGTCCGCTGGTGGTCCTTGTTGGCAGAGGCGTGGTGGTTCCAGTGGGCCTGGTGAGATGACTCTAGTTTTGACACACAGATGTACTCTGGGGGACTGGCCGCCTTTGGGGAGTAATGCAAAAGAGGAGGCAGAAAGGAGGGAAGAGAGGCAAGGAAGAAAAGAGGGTAGAGCATAAGGAAAATAGAGTGAGTGAGAGAATCACATTTACAGCTGTTAATCCATACATTTTCTCTATTGCGACATGGCATTTATGACAAACCGACAAAATTGGGTGACGTTGTATGAGGAAGATATAGGGAGTGAGGTGTACATAGAACCACTTATGGTGTATTATGACACACTTAAAAAACTCAAGCAATTGGTTGTCACCACGTGTAGTGGCTAAAAAAGTTACAAAGTGCGACTGCCCAATACATAAATAGCTGCAACTTATTCCTACGTACCTTGATCTCAGTGTCTGGGATGGAGTGTTTCCCGAGGCCAGGTCTGTCGAAGGTGACCCAGTACTGGTGGCGGTCCAGGTCCACTGCCTCTATCCTCCCCGTGTAGAACCCACTCTCCTTCTCCGTGTGCAGTCGGGCTGCAGTGGGTGGGTGGGAGGTGAGGGAGGTGTGTGTATATATGTGCATTAGTATGGAACTAAAGTAACACGGGATTCAATGTGCACGTTTGCTACATACTTAGATTTAGAACGGCATGTACAGCTACAAGCTGTACGTTCTACATATGTACATACTAGCCTAAAGAGAAAAATGTTCTCTTGATTAAGAGACTTACCCGTGACTGGTGTTCCAACTACCAGTAGCTGTGGGATGTAGTCTGGAACATCCTTATAGGCAGCAAAGTCAGGACCACAGATCTGGTGGGTACATACCAACACATCACGTATATACAGCTCTAGACTATGAGTCTGCCCTTTCAATACGTGCACAGAAGACTTTGTTTGAACTTTTGGAGGTACACATGCAACACAGGACAAAAACACATCTGTTGAATGAACACGTTTTATAATATGTGCAATAGAGAGCATTGTCTTTTTACTTTACACAGCCTTTCCTCTTCAGCCTTTCCCCCTCTTTACAAATCCTCCCTCCACTCACCATTCCCTGGTGGATCTGCTGCTGCAGACTCCTGACTCTCCTCCTGCGGTGCTCCAGGAGAGCTCTCTCTTCCGAGAAGAAGGTCGGAGAGCAGCGACGTGGCTTCCCCATCAGCCGACGGAGGTAGCGCCACTGGACCCTCGTCAGTCTGTGGGTCTGGGGGAGAGAGAGAGAGGTCACATGACAGCTCTAGAGGAGATTATCAATGATAGTGACGTGCATGCTGGACTCAGACACTTGGTGCAATACATGTAGGATGCTCCATGTTGTACATTCGTACACAAAATATCTTGCACGCAGTTAAATTCCTGAGTTCTTACGAGACATAGGGCTTGGCATTACATGGATACTGCACATACCTTTAGATCAGGGAACATTTCAGACAGACATCGACAAAAGTCATTCTCCCTCTCAAGTAAAGGCCTATATACATGAGAATGTACATCATACATACAGGTGCTAGATCATTATACACAGGACTATGGATCAATGGGAGAACTTACTGGTCCACGTCAGAGTAGAACCACTCATAGTAGCACCACTTGTGGGCCTTGGGTAGTTTCAGAAGGTTTCGCAGTTTACTGCTCACAGAGTGCTACACACACACACACACAACAACAACAACAACAACAACAACAAAGACTGAATGTACATACATGTGTACATACAAACCCCATACATAATGAAGGTTGCATGTGTATGCACTTGAGCAGATGACGGAGTAAAGACATAATGGCAGTGTAAGAACTTACAAGTGTTACTAATGTGGCTTGGTCGGGTCTGGCATCCAACTAAGTAAAGATAGACAGGTATGTAGTAGTACAATGGCAACAGCAAGTTCAGTGTACACTTTATAACTCACCTGAGTTTTGTTCACGCGCTGCCTCGCTAACCTGGGGAGTACAACAGAATAGACAAACTATCACATCTAGTGTGTATTTATGGCAGTACTACATCTCTATAGACTGTCACAAAGGGCTGGTAAAAATTTACTAGTTGCTGCAAAAATATTTTCAGCCTATGTACTTTTACTGTACGTACATACAGTGATACATTTTATGTGTGTTGCATATACATAATTATATGTATATATACCTCTTAGCTTTCTTTTGTGGAGGCTGAAAAGAAAGAGCATATGACTTAAGTTTCACAAAGCAATGTGGGAAAAATCTAACCTTTCCTTCTCCCTCACTGTTGCTTCCTCCATCTTCAATCTGACCTTCCCCAACCCACCTCCCACCCTCCCTCTCTCCCCCCTCCCCCTCCTCCTCCTCCTCACTACCACTGTTGTGGAGTCCCGAAGAGTCGTTGGATGCCTCGCGACGATGGACATGTTTCTGCAGAGAAGGCACCACAGAGAGGGAAAATGAAAAATTTCCGAAGCAACCAAAGAGAAGTGAATTTTTCCAAAGGTGATTGAGAGGTGAAGTTATCTTACGCTGGGATTCCTGCGCGGAGAGGCAGTAGCTGTCTTCCTGGTACGAGGAGATGACCTCAGGGGTTTTGCCGCCGCTGTCTCTTGGCTCCACCTCCTGCGAGCTGACTCTGTCGACAAAACAAAGAGAGTCTCTCGTGTCACTATGGGTGGGTATTGGCAACAATTTCCCTAAAGCAGGCCACGTACAGTACATTTGGTGCTAACTACACATCACAATCCAGCAAAACTTTCTGGTGGATTAAAGGGAAGGCGTCATTATGTCTATCAGGGTTAAATAAAGATAAGGCTAAACAATTCATTCATAAGTCCAAGTGCAAGCCGTTTATATTTTCAGTAACAGTTCATACAAATTTAGCCCTTATAATTTGGCGACATCAAGCATGACTCCTAAACTGCCAGTTTTTCAGTAGGTGTTATACAGTTGTATAGAGAAAATACATGTATGTAGCTGTGCTAACCTTTCAAGTCAATCAGCACTTCAGCTGCAGGGACTGGTGTATCTGTTGAAGCACACAGCATAAGTGAGGAGGTCAAGATGCATGTATGGCTACATAGGTATGTGAAAGATCACACATTCAAGCATTATTGGGTCTTAGTTATGATTACACAAAATACACAATCACTTTACAGCCTCATCTTTGATGCTTTGGAGACTGCACATGTACAATTCTTGCTCCATGTAATGGTCATGGTATACTGGTCTGTGTAACAATCCAAAGCTGTGTATATACCCCTTAGAGTAGGCCTCAAGAATTCATCACTATCACACTGGGTTATCATTGTGTCTATAGCAGGCACACAACACACAATGTGAGTTTGAATTTCAAAACCAGTGGACAGGGCTGGTGGCTGATAAGAACACTCGCTTCAAAAACCACAGCCAGATAACACACGCATGTGCTACGGCTGTTACAAGCCTAAAATTTGAGCACACATGAAGAACATGCCTGAATGTTGCATGGGTACATGGAAACACCCGCTGCCATGTGACATACAAACAAAGATGCAATAAGCTAAAGGAACAGTATTAGTTTTGCATATGACAGTTGTTTGGCATGTGGATACAGATAAACTCTACATCACTGAGCAAGACAACTTGTATGTACGATAGTGTGCAGCCCCTTGAGTGACAGACAGTGTGTGGTGCACCTTGGGTTTTAATCTCTCATATGACACTTGGAAGATTATCACCAACACACAAATTACACAAAAGGCTCACTTTTAGCCTGCACCCACACAGGCTCACATCTCACGTCCAATTCAACTGTGTCTCACGGGCCGTATAAATGGTTCTATATCAGCCAGCAGCCGTCTCATAGCTGGTTCAAGTGAAAACTACGAAGGCCATTCCGACAACGTTGAGGGTTTACGGCCCCCGAGACGGTTTATTTCTGTGACACATAGTTCACACCGCTCTACCTCATTGATGAAACATAACCGAGTCCCTGTCTCCCTCCCGAGTTACTCACCAGCGCTGAAGTCTAGCTGGTCTCCCTCCTTACTAGGATTCCCGTTCTCCGCCATTTTTCGTATTTTGCTGGCTGAACCGCTTTGCCTTGTGCGCATGCGCGTTGCCAACGAGCTCACGCGACCCACGTGTGACTGCAGCTTTGACAAAATAATGGACTTTGAAACGGAGAAAGTGAAGCATATCCAGGCTGTCTTTACTTCTAAGCATCATAGGTGAGACCCCTGCATGATACACGAGTGCAAAAATCACGCGTGTCTTGAGCCAGGTTGAAGGTACCTGATTCTCAGTTCTCCATTCCGGTCTCGGCCAATAGACGAGACCTGAGCAGTCTCATAGCTCACTTTCTTGAGGGTAAGCAACCGTAAGACCCTTTATATCAAGTCTTTCAATGAAATTGCAGGCTCTGGGAGTGATAATGATGATGGTGAAGCAGAGAGGGAAACAGAGTTCATAATCCGTGGAGACCTTCTCCGGTCCTCCTTGGAGAGCCATCTTGCCAATAAGACTGTCTCATCAGTCAGTGAGACCTCTTACATATGCTACCTTTACCTTTTGTTTACATTGGAACCCAAGTCTTTCTGTATTCACTGTGAATCAATATATGCCATGTGGCGGCTCATTAGCTGTATCAGTCTAATAGCCATCGTTGGCAAAAGCATATCTGTCTCTCGGTATCCTAAAAACATCTGAAAGCTCCTACATTGTTGACTTCTAGTTAATTGTCGCTGGCCTTCGTTGGCATGGTACGAGAGTATACAGTAGATTGTGTGTTTTGCAGGAGGCGGTGATAGAGATAGAGGTGATAGAGCGAAACCCTCCACCAAGACTGGCAGATGTGTTTGACCACAAGGACTGGGTCAGTGGTGTCCACATCAACACCCACTAGTAAGTATTATAGTATACTTTACCCTTGTGTTTCCATTACTCTGCTACTGCTGTACTTTTTTCTAGCATTCTAACTGGGAGCTATGACAGTACCGTCAGAATTTGGACTCATGATGGTAAATTTTGTTTGCATGCAGGTTTGTCTAATTATTATTTTTTACTTCAGGCCAGATGAAGTGCTCAGCTGAAGGCCACACTTCACCTGTGAAAGACGTAGTGTGGATATCTTCAGATGCATGTAAAGTTTTCCCCCAGTTTCAAAGAGTTGTTAGTTACACACTGGATGTTGTGATATGCTCAGCTTCGTCAGACAGTGGCAGAGTTCTTTTTGCCAGTGCCTCTCAAGACCAGAACGTCCACATTTGGAGTCTCGCTGAAAGTACTGCTGAACCTCAGGTACGCCCGTCTTATATGACTACTTAATGTCTTCCAACTTGCGACTGTGTACCTAATACCTTCATGTGTAGGTGGAACATCTGCATACATGTAAAGGCCATGCCAGATCGGTTGAGTCACTTGCCGTCAATCCCAGCCATGACAAGGTCGAGAATTGTTACCCCCATTATGTATGTACTGCATCTGCACGTGCAAAATATTTGTTTATAGCTGTGCAGTGTGTCTTGGGATAAGATGCTAAAGATTTGGTCAGCCGGTAAGTCCCAATTGTTGTGTTTTATCACAGTGCAATACTCACCAGACACACACACACACACACACATGATGTTGCTCTCTCGCAGTTCCTGATGATGTAATGGTGGATGAAGTGGAAAGTGAAGACCAGATAGCGTTGAAGAGAGCAAAGATAAACTCCAACCAAAGGTGTATGTTTCTAATTGCAGGTTTCAAGTGTGTATGCAGCGAAACACAATGGTAGTGATGAAAGAGATGGTAGATACTTTGGTCACAGTAAAGACAGTGACTACTATTTCCTTAGAAGAAAAGAAATGACTCGAGATTTTTTTTAGCAGAGTCCTTACTGCCTGAGTTACACTCCTGTGGTGAAGCTCATTTGGCCTGTTAATCTTTTACCAGGTCTACTACTATGTAATGCTTCAAGTTTATTTGTACCTAGGCGGGCTACAACTCGGACTCCACTGCTGACACTGCAAGGCCACACCCAGCCAGTCTCCACTGTAGTATGGCCGACAGGGGACGAGGTGCTGAGTGCTGGGATGGACCACTGTATACGTATCTGGGACATTGTGTCTGGAGTCAACAAATCCACGCTGGTGACTAGTACGAAATAGTGATTTTTTTCCACATGTCAAATGTAAGAGTTGAAACAGTTGTGCATCCTCTTCCATCAATATCAAGCCCTCCTTTCTCCTTCCCATTACATTAATGGACCCTGAAGGGAGTTTGTATATTAGGTGCCAGTTTTATTGCGACCCTCGTGAACTACTGTTTTGAAGCTCATATAATAGAACTGCTCTTCTCTCTATAGAATGGACCAAAGGTGTTCCACTGTATCCACCACAGTCATCTGAACAGTCTGGTGGCCTCTGCCAACTCTGATAAACTAGTTCGATTATGGGACACTCGTGCAGGAGGTACAGTATAACTGGATCTACCACAGTTGACAACATAATACGATGGCTTGATTTATCCTCTTTTGCTCAGAATCTTCAATGGTCCAGTCTGCCCTGGCATCTCATCAGGGCTGGGTGATTGCTGTACAGTGGGCTCCAAATAGAGAGCACCAGCTGCTGTCTGGATCATACGACAGTTCACTAAAGTCTGTCATTTTCAAGTGAATTTGAGCTACTCTATTTTCATATTATTTCTTCAGAGTGTGGGATATTCGAAGCTCTAAACTTCCTCTGTTCACTATCACTGCACATGAAGGGAAAGTTCTTTGTCTCGACTGGACATTTCCACAGGTAACTTTATTCTGCATACTTTAGTTACTGCACAGCGTGGAATAAACTTCTTTTTACAGCTACTTGCAAGTGGAGGAACAGACAGCAAGCTAAGAACATTCAACTTTGTCTAAACATTCGGTTTCATACACACATAATTGTGAATTTTTGTTTGTTGTGATGTGAATTCTCAAAAAGAATTGCTCTGCCCTCAAGCTACACATACAGTACAGTGTGCTTCAAGTATAATTATATCTAATGGTTCTTGTGGTATAATTGTGTCCTTTACAGTGTGTTGTGATTTTGATGCAGAAGGAGAAGTAAAATTTGTTGGTTGGCTTGACAAAACTTTAATGATTAAACCTGCAGAAAACGGGTTTACCACTCCTGTAGGGAGAGCTCCATCCCCCATCCGAAACAGAAACTTGTGAATTTACAATTCTGTAGAAAACCTTCAGAGTAAAAGTACAAAATGTAAATGTACACTACGGCAATGTCTTGTAAGCTATAAACACGTCTCCATGACTACGAAGACCAGAGCTCAGATCCCCATGACAACCTGGATGAAGTCATCGTATCGGAAGGTGGCGCTTCCGTTTCTCATGGTGTCCCTCTGCTGGAAAGAAGCTGCAACAAAAGACAAACACTTTGACGACACTTGAATTGAGCAAAATCAGCAGCCCAGCAAAATTAATTATTTTTGTTGTTACGAACAGATTCTAGCACATTGACACCCCCTGACCCCATCACATAATCCCTAATAAAAATCGTAATAGTTGGAGTTGGTGAGGTTTTAAGTCTGCGGTTTACAGTGAAACATAATAATGCCAAGCAACCCTCGCAACCCATAGCAAAAGGAATGCAGATAATGATCTGTGAGGTTTTCTAGCATCCAGACTTGCGTCTTTAGAAATCTACACACACTACAGTCAACTTCCTGGTTGACTACAGTCAACTTCCTGGTTGTTTCACACTTAGTGGGCACCAAAACGTGCCACGGAACAAGCGAGAAATTTTGTCTGAAACTAAGAAGGGAGACTTATAGCGGATTGGAAGGAAGCAAGGGGCCCACATAAAACTGGGTGAGTCAGGAAATCATTCACAACTCTATCCTTGTATAGTAATTTCACACTAATGTCCAAGAATGAGGACAAAGATGTACGGATCGGGTCGTGGGTGATTTTTAGTCGCACCCAGTTGCAGCTCTCCCATTACCCTCGACTTTAAAGATGCACCCCCTCCATTTCAGATAAATGATATTTCCACTTGTACTGTACACAACACTCACTGGTCAGGACCCGGAGCCTCACACAGCAGGCCACAAAGCTGTCGAAAACAATTTTCCCGTCAGTGGCAAAGTGCCTCACGATGGCACCGATTGCCTGGGGGCTCAAGTTGTAGCCAAATGCGGTGAGTGTTTGTTGCAGCTCCCGAGCGTCGATATTGCCAGATCGATCGCTGTCAAATCGGTAGAAAGTATCCTGTGAAAGAACATTATACATAAGTGGACACATAGAGTCTACCTCAAACTATTACACAGTGTGTCATTGAAACGATAATGACATAGGCGAGGCGAAACGAAACGAAAGTCGTAATGTGAACCAAGCGTTATGTGAACGCAGTCTATATGCCCTTTTGCAAACCACCACACAGAAAGGTAGCTAGCAATGGATCACCTAAGACATCAACATGCACTTGGCACACATACAATACGTCTTTCACACACAGTGTGAGTGACAGATCTGAATTACAAAAGGAATTTGCAGTTCAGAGGGCCTCAGCATGACAATAGGCTTGTACAGTGCTGCTTCAGTTTGGAACAGTTTCACAGAAGGTCAGATATAAGTGAGGATATAGTGTACAGTAATGGCTATGACTGTGTATTTAGGATAGGTTCCCCCACATAATTGTGGGTATAGCTACACACACAAGGGCACAGGGTACAGCTTATCATAACTGATTTTGTGGGGAAGACAGCTCTGGTTGGAGTCATGAACAAGCCATGCAGGTGATTTCAGTATTATATTTGAGCTGGGGAGGAGATCCCCATGTAGTAAAATACTTGCAGCAGTACATGGCAGTTCATGTGCATGTGTCAAGGTGGTGGAGATACGTAATAATACATATACACCTACCCTCCACTGGTTGAGTGCACCCCAGAGCTCCTTGAACTCATTGAAGCCCATCTTCCCGCTGTAGTCGCGGTCCAGCATGGCGATCATGACGCGACACGTCTCCTTGCTGAACGGCTGGTAGGACCCACTGAAACCAGAGCTAGTGAGGCAACGCTGCAACTCTTCCGCATCTATCTGTCCATCCTGCAGGCATGTACATACATACATGGCCTTGATATGTTCGCTTAGTGGTACCCAAGGGGCAAGTTTGAGGGAATATGGGACAAGAAAAAAAAGAGCGTGTATAATTATATGTCAACAACAAGGTAGGTAGCAAGGCAAAGGCAAAGCGAACAAGTCAACTACATGCATCACTTTAGCAACTTCACAAGCCAGCAAAATCACATATGGGCCTGATTCAAACACCTATGAAACCCTGCATTACTCCCCTTTACACAAGACTGCATGGAGTAAACTACTACATCTGGATATGTAGAAGCAGCTCAGAGCATGCACAGGTATAGATAGGCCCCAGAAACTCACTGCTCCAGCGACTGCTGAGAAGAATCCCCACAGAGGATCAACCTGCAAAAATGAACAGAATCACAGCTTGAACTAAAATTACGGCCTTGCGTTCGGTGGCCTCTAGTCTCTAGTCTCTACCGCTACAGCTAATGGTAACTCACGCCCATAGGTGGTCCTGCAGGAGGCGGGTAGGCCATGGCTCAGATGTTTGTCTAGAACTGGAAAAGGGGACAAAAACAGCAGGTGAACACGCATCCAAAATACTGGCTTGACCTACAAGATTTGGGAGATCAAACACGAGAAGCTGAAAAAATGGCCGGGCGCGCGATCACACTGCTTACCACGCCCACCCCCCGGCGCGGTGTGGCCCCCCAGTTGGACGTGACGAATTTCTTCGTCACGAATGGGCGTGCGCGCGTGCGTGTGGGCGTGAGCTAGTCCCAGCCTAGCCTAGCCTGATCTGATTTCCACACAGCGCCATGGCCGAGCTGGACATACCAGGAGTGGCGTTGAATCAAGAGTACAGAGTGAAGCTGGGCAAGAGTTTCACGTTTCCCAAAGAAAATGCCTTCCACACCATCAAGTGTAAGACAAAATACAAACACGCTACAGTTTATACTCTATTTGACGCGCATCACGCTTATCCACGCCACACGTGGAAAACGGTTTTTTTGGTGACTTGAATCTCTGCAGATGACTTCAAGCCACTGTCGGTGGACAACAGCAAGCCGGGGAAACTGAGAGTAGGAGAGGGAGATGAAGTCAACATGTCTTTGCCTGTGGTGCAGGTATAAACGTGGAAACACGAGACAGTGTGCCACTTGTCTAAAGCATCTCTATAGCTCCATTGGATCGTGTTTCATATTTTCCATAACGGGAAGGAAGGGGGTCTGGGTCTTTGAGGAGGAAGGCAACACTCCTCGCACTAGCCATAGGACCAATTTCGCTTCCCCCTATATAGTAACACTGTATGAGTGTGAACTAGTATGTGGGTGTGGTGGCTCCTAATGGTCACAGTACTTACATTATTGTGGAACTTCAGTTGTATTCCACCATAGGCAGAGTCAGCGGATGACGTGGCTCAGTTCAGGGGACCGAAGCGACCGTGTACCCGAGAGTGTGTCCTCATTATCAACACTGAGACTGGGGAGGCCATTCTGGAGAAGATTGGCAGTTCTGTCAACCTCAAGTCTGTCAGGTATACACAGATGTATAATACGTATGTCTGATGCCTACAACATATTGAACCTCTGTAATAAGGGCATTCATCATCACTGTTTTAGATTTTTACTAACCATGACCAAAACTTTGAAAGTGCTGCAAAAAGAAACCAAGCACAGCATCACAGAGTGAATACAACTAAAAACCTATTAACATGCACCATCGTGGTTGTTAAAGGAGAAAATGTCTGCTCTATGAGCAGTGTGCCCCTCAGCACCATATACATGTGTACATATGTGTCTCTTGGATACATAAAGTAAAATTGAGTAGGTGGCATGCACGAGGCATACGTAGAACGTGCATACGAAATTAACTTTGTGTGCTAGCTAGAGAATTGATCGTACGAAACTCTCATCCCAAAACTCCCCACCTATATATTAACCAACCACACACCTGACTTATCACCTACGTATGTCACTCTTGCTCTATATAATACATATATGTCCCTTGTACAGGGATGGAAGGCCGAAGCCTTCGCGAGATCGCTCCATATCTCCAGCACCGTTTGCCGCCAAGAACCAGGCCATGGGGAAGATGGCAGGACATGGGAAATCCCCCGCTCCCTCGGGCTCCTCCTCCTCCTCCCACAAACACTCGAAAGTCCCGAAACCACCGGCGAAATCACGCCCCAAGAAATCTTCAGAGATTCAGCAGCAGCAACAGAATAGTATTGGTCTCGGAACTAACAGCTCGGCCAGTAGTAGTGGAAGCACTCTGAAAGTATCTGGGAGTTCTGCGGTGGGAGAGATTTCTTCAAAACCGAAGAAGAAGCAATCAAAGTATGCAAACGTAGGGTCGACCCATCACACAGATGTGCAGTCTTCCTACCTCTCTATACCAACAAAGACTAGTAGTGCTAGTGCACCTTCCGTACTCGTGCCAGCAGCTAATGAGCCGAACCCCTACAATCAGGGGTCTTATAACCAGGCCACTGAGTTGGGGAGTGGGCAGAAGAAACTGACGCTGGAGGACAGCAGTGGATCTTCGAGTGGTTCGGGGTCAAGCAGCTCGTCCGGAAGCTCAGACAGCGAGAGTGAGGACGAGTCCCCCGCCCAGCCGTCTTTCCTGTCAACGGGGACCTACCCTGGAGGTGGGGCCAGTGGGGGAGGGGTTAATGTGCCACCTTCTGGAGGGGGAGTCATGAATATGCCCTCCATGCAACCGTCTCAACTAGCCAACAGAGGTATGTATACAACTTTCGATATAGGACACTCCCAATAAAGGAGCACATTATATAATTATATAAACTTCTCGATAAGGGACACACTTTGATGTCCCAACTGTTCACTTTTCTATTACATTTTTAACTCCATGGTCAACCTCCATCTTGAGGACAAAATGCCTTGTCTATATAGCTAATGCACAACTGTGAAACGCACAGCAAAACTGCTCCTTTGATTTTTAATACACACTTGGCCACCTCTGGTGTTGTCCCGCAGTTCCTCCGTCAATGCCAGTGTTTGGAGGGAGCGGTGTGAGTGGTGGTGGAGTCCCAATCTCCATTCCCCCATTCCCAGTCCAGCCGTCACGGAACGAGGACTCTAGCAGCAGCTCGGGCTCTGATTCTGACAGCAGTAGTGGGAGTAGCAGCGGGAGCTCCTCTGACAGCTCCGACGAGAACATCAAGGTATACAGCCGTATACGTATGATGCTATGTACTTAGTGACTAAAATCTGACCAGAAAACCAAAAGTCCTGCTGCCTAAAAACCAAAACAAACGTCATTTTTGTGTGTGCAGTAGAATTACGCTTTGCGTAGAGATTTGTTCCGCTCAATTGTTAAAGAGGATTCTTTGGTTCATGCAAATTAAGAGTGTGTGGTTATTGATGTGTGTTTTTCCTTCGTTCAAGGGCCAGACTGCTGTGCAACAGGCTCCACCGAACATCATGAGGTCCATCTCTACTCTCGGTGAGTGTGAACCTGTGTGTGTGTGTGCTTCAATGTTTTTCCATTCCTCCCTCGCTCACCCTTTACCTCTCTCCTTTCCTCCTGCTCTTTACCCTCCTTCCATTTCCGCCTCTTTCTTCCTTCTTCCCTCTCTCTCTCTGCCACCCTCTCCCTCCCTTCCCCATCTCCACAGAGCATGAGTTGTCTTGTTCGTCTTCAGACAGTGACTAAGCCCCTGTATAATCAATGAACTCTCCTCACTTCGTCCCACTAATCACGACATCGTTTCATTCATCGCACAATGTATTCTTCTGCACATTTTCATCATTAATACTCCTATAGAGAGGTCATTTTAGTATTTTGTGGTGTTATGGGTGGCGCAGAGTATGAATAACGGAGACAACGCACGATGAAAACATAGCGCGATATAGACGTACCGTGCAGCGTTGGTGTGACGTGCGGTTTGCACGTGTAGGCATCGGAAGGTGAACTCGCGTTTGCGTGGGTATACTGGTTTGCGTCGTCCGATCTGCACTCTTCCAGCTTCACCAGCAGTATATACTAGAGTGACTGATCTCCCCGCGGGAGCTTGCGCTGCAGCCTTTCTACTACCTGTTGTATCCTTATATATAGCACTGACTAGTTCGTTGGAGAGAAATGGCTAAGGCTATCCGCGAGTTTTGCGGGAAGGAGCTGCTCCACAAGTACGTGGAGAGGCTGGGGAGCGAGACGGAGAGACAGGGGAAGCTCCGTATCCCCTTTGCCTCTGCCCCTGTCACCGAGACTACGGATTTTGATTTGCTCGCGAAGAGCTACCCGTGGCTCCACACGGAGGTCAGTTGAAGAAGGGGGCGGGGCGTTTGTTTACGACGCGATCTTCCCAGCTACGTAGCTAGAGTTCGGTTACCACATGCAATCTGTGTTATTTTCCTCCAACAGAAGCTGGTAGTGAAACCAGACCAGCTCATAAAACGCAGAGGAAAACTGGGACTAGTGAAGGTAGTCATCCATACAAAATTGCATTACACAATACACAGTCTGAGCACAGTAATGATAAAATAACTATGTTACATGACCAGGTATCTGGTCGAGCATGAAAGAGCTCAAAATCAACCACAATTCGAATTACAAGGACTTTTGAACCCCACATATCGAATCTTGGCATGTACACAATGGCTATTCGATTCGGAATGAATCTAGCACAGATTATTGGTTGCGTAAAGGATAGAGTTACTATGGTGACTGTTTGCAGGTGAACGCTGACCTCTCGGAGGTGAGGGAGTGGGTGGTGAGTAAGATGGGGGAGGAGGTGAAGGTGGATGTGGCCCGTGGGAGACTCACCAACTTCATTATTGAGAAGTTTGTCCCACACAATCCCGCCGAAGAGCACTACGTCTGGTGAGAATTCTTTTGAGTTGTAGCCAGTGGTTCTTCTATAAGTGGGATGTTTCAGTCAACTCTCTCTTTCTATTGCTATCCCTGGCTAAAACTTGGCAGCCAATTGTCCTTGGCTAGGGCGCCTGGATATCTACTTTAACATTCGTCTGCCTAGCCTACCTCTCAGTTTGTCTGTCTTACGCACTCTCTCTCCTTTCTCTCCCCCTCACCTCTCTCCTTTCTCTCCCCCTCCCCTCTCTCCTCCCCCTCCCCTCTCTCCTACTCCCTCTTCCTCTCCTCCCCTCTCCTCTCCCCCTCCCTCTCTCCTCTCCCCTCCCTCTCTCCTACCTCCCTCTTCCCTCTCCCCACTCTCTCCTCAGCATCATGGCGAACCGCAGTGGAAACACGGTTCTCTTTCACGAAGAGGGCGGGATGGATGTGGGGGACATAGACAGCAAGGCTCACAGAGTACAGGTGGACATCGAGGAAACGCTCTCAGAGGAACAGGCTCGTCTCCTGGTGTCCCACGTCTCGCCTGAGAAACAAGAGTAAGTCAGTCGACCACAACCCACAGTGTGTGCTATATTATGGTTGATTGCCTGATATTATGTATATGATGTTAGGTACATACCATGCCCATCCCTATATTATACTAAGTACTACCGTACTTAGTGATATACATAGTGTGGCTCTTTCTTCATAAAAATCAGGGTTTAATTACTAAACCAAGGTCAGAAAGAACAAATACGCAGGAAGCCACGAGGGAGCACGGCTAGGGGTTAGGACTAGATATAAAACAGTAAACCATGATTTATATGAAGTGATGATCGACCACTATCAGTCATTCTGCCAAACACGTATGTATTTTTGTGTCAGTGTGTGTGTTGTCCCTCTCTCTATGTATGTAGACCACTGGTGGAGTTTCTGCAGACTCTCTACAGGTGTTTCACAGATCTCTACTTTACCTACCTTGAAATCAACCCCATCGGTACATACATATGTAGAGCACATTTTATATATGTCCAAAGCAGGACAAATGCAGCACATTTGAGTAGGCTAAAACAATATAAGCACATGCTAATATATTGTCCAGTGTGACATTGTCATACACGATACATGGATTGCTTAGAGAATATTTCAGACAGCTAATTAGTACATACGTAGGAAGTTTGCTTCTTTGTTGTATGTACCTTGACACAGTATGACACAGTATGACACAGTATGACACAGTATGATTGCTCCACAACAGTTGTCCAGGGGGATGTGGTACATGCATTGGACTTGGCCGCCCGACTGGATTCAACCGCAGAATTCCTCTGTAAGGCTCACTGGGGTAACCTCTGCTTCCCTCCTCCCTTTGGCAGGGAGGCCATCCCTGAGGTGAGGCTTTTCGGCAAAACAAATAAATTTTTTAAGGTAGAAAAAATATAACTTGCTTCTAGTCACCATTTCAACTAATCACACACACAGATTGTTTTAGGCAAAACAATATATTCTAAGGTTGAAAAAAAACATTTTGGGCCAGCCCTCCATCTCTCCAGGTTGAAATTGCGAGCAAGGGTATTGTACTTGTTCGAGAGTATGTCTGTCTGTCGTTCTATTGCCACGGTTTTTATATGTACTCTAATGTGCCTCTGCAGGAAGCCTATATAGCAGAGCTTGATGCGAAGAGCGGAGCCTCTCTCAAACTGACAGTCCTCAATCCTCTAGGCCGCATCTGGACCATGGTTGCTGGGGGTGGAGCTTCAGTTATATACAGGTATAATACACTGCTGTACGGAACGTAGTAACCTGTCTGAGTACCATTTAGTATTGGGGCCAAAAAAATTCTTTTTGCCCTCACAGAGAATGACTCTATATAGGCCATGAACACTGTTTTGCTTACTAGGAACGGAACTAATCGAGTGAAATCTGCGCTGCGATACCAGTTCATAGGCCAGCATTAGCATGGATAGATTTCTTTACCAGATTACTTCTGCATGTCTCAACAACTTGGCAACGAGGTAGAAAGGCTAGGCAAGGCAAATAAGTCAACTTACTACACACCCTGGACGGCTCTTTCTTTTCATGTATTGCTCGTGGTCCAGACCGTAATAGCATGCTAGTTGGAAGTTCTACCCATAACCAACGAATCGAAAGGCTCAGTATCTCACGCTATGGCAGACGGAGAGAAGTTGTGAAGAGTTTGCAGTGAAAATAATATGTGATTCTGACATGAAGCAATGTGTATTGAAACTTTGTGTCTGTGTGTGTGTGTGTGTGTGTCTGTAGTGATACAATATGTGACCTGGGTGGAGGGGCGGAGCTGGCCAACTATGGAGAGTATTCAGGAGCTCCCAGCGAGAGCCAAACCTTCGAGTACGCCAAGACCATTCTGTCTCTGATGACAACAGAGAAACGACCTGATGGTGGGTCACATGACTTGCAGTACCCGTAGCTAGCTATACTTAATGTGCCGAGTGTAGTTGGTTTGAATTCCACCCAGGTCAGCTCTTCTTTTTTGAGTTGCTCTGGGTGGAGTTGACTTGTTTGCCTTGCCTTTGCCTTGCTATCTCGTTTTTGACAGTATAAATCACAGGGTGTAAATGCAAGGCAAATGCACCCAGGACAGAGATAAAAGAGTGTCCCTTGGTGACTAAGATTCTGTGCTGTAGGCAGAGTACTACCCATACACTGACAATATTTTTGCTTACTCAGGCAAGGTTCTCATCATTGGAGGAGGAATTGCCAACTTCACTAATGTGGCAGCAACCTTCAAGGTATGATCTTCATTGCTGCATACATTCTATGTGCTCCAGGTCATAACTTTGAACTTTGCCTATTTCGACACAGTGCATAAGGTGCCCCTGCACTAATGCTGCCTACATGTTAACTCACCATACTTTATTATATGCGCCAACATTCAGGGTACACTAGTGTAACACTGTATAATGGTGCACTGCTTCTATTGCAGGGTATAGTGAAGGCACTGACAGAGTACCGTCATCAACTGCTGGAGAACAGAGTCAGGATTTTTGTGAGGAGAGGTGGCCCAAACTACCAGGAGGGCCTCAAACTCATGAGGGAAGTTGGTGAGAAAGAACGCACACTTATACACACACTCTCTGTGGAATATTCACTATACCCCTGTTGTGCAAGCATATAATGGTGTGCTTGTAGCTTTTCAGTAAATTGGATATCCATGTAGAGTCCTCCTTTCTCTCTCTTCAGCAAGCATGAGCTGTTCATAATATTTACAGTGATCAGAGAAAGAACACACACTTGAGCTAATTCCATGCTTTTTTAGTTCCAAGAAAAGTGAATAGCCATTATCATATATAGTCCTCCTTTCTCTCTCTCTTTAGCAAGCACATTAGCTATTATTCAGACACATGCTATCTATTGGCTCAGGTTCGAAGCTGGGTCTGGAGATGTATGTATTTGGACCGGAGACCCACATGACAGCCATTGTTGGTATGGCCCTGGGTCATCGCCCAATCCCCAAGCCTACCAAACCTGAGCCCCCGATGTCTCAGAACCTACTGGGCAAGAATGTGAGGCACATCAGTTTGTACAATGTATTGGGAACTCCACTAGAGCGAATGTAGTGCATTTTCTGCCGAGTATATATAGAAGCTTGGAATCCCACATAGTAGGGTATATATAATTATACTTGGTATAATATAGATCAAATTTGTTTGTGATGACTAGATAATTTCTACCAGCCTTGGAAATGTACTGTACAGGGCTATTTGTAAGTATCCTGTCGTCAAATCATACCGACAACTAGGTTGATATTGGTTTGCCAATAGATTTTGGAAGTGGTGCGGTGACTAGCATAGGTCGTTACCTAGGCACAAAGTTTATCGGGTGTTCACTGGGGGGTTCGAATCTCACCCGGGGCAGCTCTTCTGTTTTCCTTGCAAAAAAGAGCTGTCCTGGATGTGGTTGATGGCTTGTTTGCTTTGCCTCGTACTTGACATGTGTTTGTGTGTGTGTGTAATATACAGCTGGTGGCATCCCTGTCTCAGAGCTCCTCCACCAACTCCATGAGTGAACTGATGGACAGCGGGGAGAGATCTGGCTCTCCTAAACTCTCCAAGAGAATCACAGTGAGTCCTTTACTTCTCTCTGCTCTGGGAGCATTCTTCTTCCTTTGTGTACAGCAAGGTCCCCATTTAGTACTCTTCATGTATTAGAGATGTATAGTATAGGAAAGTTAGTAACTTTCTTTTCTCAGAGAGCATTAGAACTTACACACGTTACGTGAATATTTGGTTGCCTGTAAAAGTCAGCTCTTTTTGTCAAAATAGAATCACTAATAGCCCTCATCAAAATTACCCCCTTTACGTGTGTATATGTAAGTGGAGCTTCAGAAATGGGGAAATGCAGACTTCCACATACTGACGTACTGTGTATTTTTGTCCTGGTAGGTATGTCTGTGGGATCCGGAGCAAGAGAACGCGTTGAAACCTCCTGCAATGCTCTTCACCTCCTCCAGCAAGGCTATTGTGTGGGGCATGCAACCTCGGGCTGTTCAGGTGCGTATGTGTGGTGCAGTTTGACATGTTAGAGCTACTGTGTTGTGCTGCGTCATGTTAGATTGCATCAGGGGAACTGCAAGGTGTGGCTGCAGTTTCCGAGATGCAATCTGAAACTAATTACGTACATGATCAAAAAGCAAAGATTACGGTAGCAATGTTCTCGTAAGTGGATTATGTGAAAGATGCAGTTGGTAGTGCGTAGGCGCTGACATTGATAGCTTTCTTCACCATGTTACCTCAGATTAATCAGTCCACGTTTTGTTAAATCTTTTCTCACCACTGAATGCTGTGTTGGATATAATATTATATAGGGAATGCTGGACTTTGACAATCTGTGTTCACGTGAGGTACCGTCGGTGTCAGCCATGGTGTACCCATTCAGTGGAAACCACAAGCAGAAGTTCTACTGGGGACACAAGGAGATTATGATCCCTAGTGAGATATGTATAATTATACCAATTCACCTGAATTGAACTCTACATGGACTAAGAGCGAAGTTAACGGACTATGAAAATTGCATATCGACTCTTAAGTCTTGCGGTGAATACAGATGCACTGGTCAACAAGCTCATAGTTAAAAGTTCTTTCTCCTGTCCTCTTTCACACTGTGCTGTTCACAAATTAATGTACGATATGATAGCTGACGGAACAAAATGAAAGTCTATTGTCGTATTGTGAACTAGGCTTAAGTGGATCCACATCTACTATTTAACTGCAATAGTGTCATTGCAAAATAGAGGTACACAAAGGTCACGTGTGCATTGGGAAGGGTTTGGTTATATAAATTGTGGGTAGAGTGCTGTTTTGAGTACTGTTGATACTGGCCATTTGGTGGTCGCTTTTCAACAGCAGCACTGATGGTTCAGTGGTAGAATTCTCGCCTGCCACGCGGGAGGCCCGGGTTCGATTCCCGGTCAGTGCATTTTTGTCATTCTTTTTTATGCAGTGTACAAAGACATTTCCGAAGCCGTCAAGAAACACCCTGAAGTGGATGTTCTAGTCAATTTTGCATCACTCAGATCGGCTTATGATGCCACCATTGAAGCTCTTAACCTCAAACATGTATGCAATTAACGTAATAATGGACTACAAATCTCTGTAAAAGAACGTGAGATTAAGCAGTGTATTATAGTAGGAGAAGGAAGGGTGTTTAGGTAATACTTATACAGTCTGGTGTGCATTTTTACGTTTGTGTAAGTTAGCTTTATGAGTGGTATTAGGTATATACATACATCCTTATGCATTCACAACAAAGTTGCCATTACTATGCTTCTTTGCTCTCTGTTCTCCGTACTCAGTTTCGCAGTGTGACCATCATAGCAGAGGGCATTCCCGAGAACAAGACGAAGAAACTCATCAAGAAGGCAGACTCTCTGGGAGTCACTATCATTGGACCTGCCACAGTAAACCCCCTCCTTCTATATATTATAGAGCTCTATGTGTGCATGTGTCAGTAGTACAACGTGGCAAGGCAAAGGCAAAGCTTCAACTACATTGAGAACATCTCTTTAGGAAAAAAGAAGAACTGCCCTGGGCAGGATTGGAACCTGTACGAGACTCTGCAATCTAGGCGAGCGCTCTACCCACTGAGCTGGCTTAGTTAGTGGACCATGGGGCATGCCTTAGTTACATAGTTGTATAGCAAGTTTGTGTCTTAGTGAGTTTGTATGTGTGCAGGTTGGAGGGATCAAGCCAGGTTGCTTCAAGATTGGTAACACTGGTGGAATGCTGGACAACATTATAGCCTCCAAACTATACAGACCCGGCAGGTAATTGTCTGTTATACGTACTACTAGAACGAATTCGACTCGAGTGAAGCACAACCCTTTGAACCGCTGCACGTGATGTTCACGCATGTGCATTGTAGTGGCGCAGTCGGCCAGTGCAGTCGCACAATTCAAACAATTAGGTGGACTCACTTCACTCGCCAATAATAATTATAGTTAAACTGGAGTGTTCTCGTGGTGCAGACCTTGCAGGTAATAAGTAATAAAGTACACTGCGTTCATATTATTATTTCATTCTAATTTGCATTGTACACTCATTTGCAGGTTATATAATATACATACTCTGATGTGTTGTAATGTTTACGTAGCACAATCATGGTTATTAGAAGTCTTCACTCTTGATTTATTCGCGTCGAAGTTGTTCCTGGTACTTGTGGTATACTTCCTCCACTAAATCTTGAGATCTTGTGATTTCATCTCTCTCTCTTGCCTTGTACCATCGTATGACCAAGCCCAGTAGAGCAGATGACACCACTGCCAATACTAGTGCGCTCAGGTAGAACCAGATACCACATGTACTGGTGTGGAGTATGTCAAACCAATTGTTTTTCCACACCTCATACAATACTGTTCCGAGAGTTAAAAATAAAGTTTCAAAATTGATGAAAAGTCCTATTAGTAGACCTTTCATATTGTATGGTGCCTGAGCACATACGAATTCAAGGCTGGATTTGTATAGCACCAGTGCTGTGAAACCCAGTATATGGTTGAAGGGAATGACAGATATTTTACTTTCATTCATCTGTGTAAACATACATTCAGTTGTGGCATCAGTGAAAGTTTCTATGGCTGTGTATGCAATACCGTACAATGATGAAGCAATGAGTGCTGCAGCTCCAATTCCAGCAGACTGGAGGATGCTGGGACCTCGGTTTCTCAGACATGGGTAGATGAGTAGCTCATACAGTGGAATGTAGTACACGATTGTGACACTAGGGCAAAGGCAGCTTTTGACACTGCTTGAATACAGTTTGATTTCGACAGGTTCATCTCAATATTTGATCCTGATTCTGACTGTTGCATGAATGGTAAAGCAAATGTTGAGAGCACCATAATGACCACCACAACTCTCCAGAAGGTCTTGACATCCTCCACTTGCTCTGTGGTGAAAGGTCCACCATATTTTGACTTGCCATAGTCCAGTCTTGTTGGCCGTTCATTTTCACAGTATGTGAAGGCACTTCTCTGAACTGGATACTTGTGCTTTGCTGCATATTTCAAGACTTTGAAAATATGACTCACTGGATTGACAGTCACTGGCTCTTTCACCAGTTTGTGGTGGAAATGAAAGTCCAAAATGAGTCCCACAGAGAGCAGTAGGACTGGCAGCAGAGATAATATCATGCTGACTTCGCTTGCTTGCAAATGAGTGCAATCATACAAGACCGATCCTATGATAGAAGAAGTAGCTAGTCCACTACAAAATACCCAGGCTAACCAATGTATGAAGGCAGAAATGTTGGCAGATGTTCCACCGGTAATCTGGTCCATTCCCAGTGGAACTGCACTGGCCACAAATGCCCCAAAAAGCCAAAAAGTTGGTATCAATACGATTTGCAGTTGTATTGCAAATAGTGTTGGTTTTTGCCACAGGCAGTTTGTCCTCACATATTGAGATAAGCGAAGCTATTACAGAAAATAACCATAGCGTCTTTAAAGAGTAACTTATGAGTTTGTATCGACCAATAACCACCTGTGCTAGGAGACTTACTACAGGGAGTAAGATGGTGGATAAAACTGCAATGCTAACCAGACTCTTCTCCTGCATCAACCACAATGATATAGAATCAAACTTGCTTTGTTTGCTTGAGAACAAATACTGTATTCTGTAGAGCGGGAAGCATAGTGAGCAGGAAATGGCGTATTCCCAGATCAGGATGAGTAAGATGCTCCTGGAGCCTATGCCACGATGTCGCCACTTTCTCCCTGACCTGCCCTTGTGTCTGACATTGAGTGAAGTCCGGCGGAGTTTTGCTGCTGATTTCTGTCCGGTTGTTGTAGACACCAGAGCAGGACTGTCTTAGGGTGACAGTTTCCTCGGCACTGTTCCTACTGGTTTCCATTGCACAGCCACTTGTCACCAAGCAGGGTATGGCATAGCTTCCCTTTTCTACTTGTATCAGTTGCTTTGGCTGACCTAACTTTCAGGATTCTATTGAGATTGAAAGCATTGCTAGGGCTATGAGTCTGAAAACCATCACACTCCTTTTCAGTGTGGCAGCTGTTTCTTGCTGCTGGTTGCGATGGCAGTTAGATGTGGATTCCCTTGTTTTGGTATTCACAGCCATGCTTAGCTGTTGGGTGTCTGTTGACATCGAAATTGAACACTTTTTACATCAAAGCTTTGCTCATTCATTTTTAGAGAGGAATGCATGATGGTGCAGCGATTATAGCTAATACAGCGCAAACGCCAGGACAGCTACATGGTTGCACATGAGTGAATGTGTCGTGCAGGTATATGTTGGGTCATGCAAAATGCTGCATGCAGTGTGGTGCATCTTATTTCCAACGAAATCATCTGTCGAGATTGGCTGAGATTTAAATGTATTTTAGAGTTCTCGTATTTGTGCGGGCACACACTATTTGTACAAAAACTATGATGATTAAAAATAATTATTTAAAGGTGTTCAAATCTCTCTATCTCTGATCCCTGTACTTGTAGTATATTTCTTCCACCATCATCTGTGACAGCATCATATCGTCTCTTTCTCTTGCCTTGTACCAGCGTACAACGAATGATAGTAACAGAGATATTGCTAAGGCTATTAATAGGTTAGTCAGATAGAACCAAATGCCACATGTACCAGTGTGTGGTATTCCAAACCACTTGTACTGCCACGAATTATGCAACACCAGTACCCCAAAAGCTCTGAATATAGTTTGTAGTGCCAACGATAGTCCAATCAAGAAACTTCTCATGTTGTAAGGAGCCTGTGCACAAACTAACTTGATTCTCGCTTCGTAGAGAATTACTACGATGACTCCGAGAATGCAACTCAAAGGGACTAAAAAGTAGAACGGTATCGTGGATTTGTTGGGGGAATCGTATGAAAACATGCACTCTAACGTGCCTTTGGTTGTCACTTCTCTCGTTGCCTCTGCTGTTATACCATACAATGATGCAGCGACTACAACTGCAGCTCCAATTCCAGCAGACTGGAGAATGCTGGGACCTCGGTTTCTCAGACATGGGTAGATGAGTAGCTCATTTATGGGTATAGCATACATTACGAACGAGGACAAAGTTAAGAAGCCATTTGAAGCTTTTTCAATGCAATTGGATGGAGAGTGTGAGCGGAATTTGCTTTTTAACAAAGGGTAGGATGCATATATCGATTCTTGTGGTCCATACAACATTGAAACCACCAGAGTCACTACAAGAACTCTCCAGAAAGTCTTGACATCCTCCACTTGCTCTGTGGTGAAAGGTCCACCATATTTTGACTTGCCATAGTCCAGTCTTGTTGGCCGTTCATTTTCACAGTATGTGAAGGCACTTCTCTGAACTGGATACTTGTGCTTTGCTGCATATTTCAAGACTTTGAAAATATGACTCACTGGATTGACAGTCACTGGCTCTTTCACCAGTTTGTGGTGGAAATGAAAGTCTAAAATGAGTCCCACAGAGAGCAG